CTCTCCCTCCCTCCAACATGAATGTCAGCCAATGGCGATGCTGTTGCCATCGGAGCTTAGGGGGGGCCGTAAAGAACCATTTGTCTCCCCTCGCATCCCTGGCACCTCCCCGTCTACAGTTACCATAGAAACAAGGCAACTCAGACTCTCTATTTAAACCATCCTCTTGTCTATTTTTATAAATGATTCATCCCTAACCCCCCCTCATGCACAAGACTTGTATCAGCACATAAACTAATGGTAGGAACTGTGGCGAAGAAAAGCAATTTGCAAGTTACACGCTGTGACTAAAATGTGAAATTCAGGGACGCGTCCAAGGCGGCACAGCATAACCATGCGCATTATGCCTGTTAGCGTCCCCCCCCCCTTGCTCAGTGGCAAGATTAGCCCCCACCCCACGCTGTTATCGCAGATTAATGACTCTTTTCAGACCTCCCAGATTGTCACCCCCACTGAGCTGGATGCACCCTGAGTGTGCTCTGCTTTACACGGTCTCTACTCGCTACTGCCATGATCGTCTGTTAACCCCCCCCGCTCCCCCCCCAGCCTGAGTCTCGCCTACTGAAGGCTTATTTGCTGTTTAGCCATTCATCATTTTTATCTTGCTATTATTGCACTGCTTCAGTCATCCGAATGGAATAATCTTATTTCTTATTGATATTTTACGGGAGCCGAGCCCCTCCCTCGACAGTGGTGGGGGGGGGGGGGGTGAAGCAGCAGTGCCCATCGTCAGCCGCTGCCCCATTCTGACATGGAGCCAAGTGAGAGGCCCGTTTCTCGGGAGCCAATCAGTGAAGAGCGTAGCGTGTGCCTTCATGCATGTGTGCCAGCAAGCAAAGCACCGCTACTCATGTGTGAACTCGGGACCACAGAGGGAGCTGCCTGCAGGTCTGGATTAGCATGTGCACACAGATAAACACACACACACCCTTCTGTATGCTAGCCCCCCCAATCCAACTCAGTTATACTGTATGCGGTGCCTGTGCAGGAGCCTGGGACAGTGGGGAAAGCAAATCTGTGATGCAGCGCTCTCCCCACCTCCCCCCCCCCAGGCAGCTGTACCCCTCCCTTCAGTGATGACTGGGGGAAACAGGCACAGAGACCGGTTAGTGAGTCGGGTTTCAAATCAGCTGATTATCAGGGAGCGGCGAGGGAGGTGTGTGTGGGGGAAAGGGGGTTTCAGGAGCAGCTTGGGGACCCAGTCAGGATAGATATCTGCTGAGTAAATGTGCGCGTTCGTTCAGGAACACATTTCAGGTACAAACACAGTGTATTTGTAACCCATAACACAATATTTGGTTAAAATCTCTAAGCATGAATGTGCGTTTTTTCCAAGACTGAGTGAGGACAGTGAGTAGGATCTCATTGCGTAAGTCCATGAGCCACTTTATCTGCACAATAAGCACCGTGACATTTACACAGTAACATCCCAAAGCTTTGCTGACCGAAAAGCAGACTGCTGTCATAACACGGAAAACCCAGCACGTGCTCTTACGACATATGCCAGTCCCAAAAACACTAACTCAATAATCTCTTAATTACATTTGTTATGTAACTACGGCTTCAGAGGTGCATCGTCATCATTTGGGTAGATCTCATGGAATGAAAAATCAAAAACAATCATAGAACAGCAGACCTTTGGAGAGGGTAAAGGTTAGATACTGAATTAAAGCCAGTGAAACAGTTGGCTGTTATTTACCACTGCAGTAGAACACTGCTGGTATATCCTACACCCATAATAAATGGATCATCCTACACCCATAATAAATGGATCATCCTACACCCATAATAAATGGATCCAGGTACCGTAGCAACGCCTGTCTCTGCAGAAACTGCTTTCTTTGGCCTGCTTCCTTTTTCCTCTCCTCTCCTCTCCCTGTCCTCTCCTCATCTCCCCTCCTCTTTTCTCCTCTCCTCCTTTCCTCCTCTCATCTCCCTTTCCGGTATCCACGCACTCTTGAACATCTGTTGAGCTTGTTTGCAAATCGTGACATTCCCTTCATCTATCTTCCCATTCCAGTCGCCGCTGCAGAACCGAAGGCATCTCTGTAATGAGCTGCCTCATCTTTAATTCCTCTACTCCATCTACTGTTTGTTGTGATGGCTTTTTCACCTTCTTTCCGGAATCATTTACTAAACACAGCGGCGCCTTTGTGCAGCCAGAGGGAGCGCAGTACAGCACTCGCCCGACGGGCACTGTCAATAGTGATGAGATATTAATTAGGCTGGGTTCCTTAAAAACAGACAGTTTGAATTGGGCGCTCACTTTCAAAAGAATTACGTTAAAAAAGGCTGGAATTCAGACCCCAGTGGACTCATTAGTGTCCATGCACCACTGAAGATGAGGAGATACAAATTGTTTCTCCTGAATATTTAATCACTGAGGCGGACTTTTCCCCATTCAGCATCTCTATGGATTTTGGAAGCAGGTTCACACAGAGTGGAAAGACGTTCTTCTCTGAAATGTTGTAAACATGATTCCATACAGTATCACACACTGCAGGTACTGAAGCAAAAGCCACAATCATGTTTATCTCAGCAGCAAAATAGCTCTAAAAGTACAGGCATGGCGCAGCCTAGGAGGGGTGGCGTGTATTTGAGCGGCCGTCCAGCAAACCACGGAGCTACGAACTGCAGTGATGGGCTTAGCCATTAGCAGGCTGTGACTCACACTTCTTAAAAGGGAATGCTGACTTCATGAGTGGTGAGGGTAAGCACACACTGCAACACCTGTAATCAGCCGCATGGACCATGTGAGGTGGACGCATTAAAAACACCCATTTCATAAGGTGAGTTGGGATTAGGTCCCTCTCTCCTTCCATCTGTGTCATCAGTGGAAGCTAATTGGCTTATTTTGGGCCCCCTTGTAGGACAGATACCTGGTTTGCTTTCAGTAGTGAACCTTAAAGGGTAAAGTGTACGGTTTTGTGTTTTGGTGCTATAGAGAGAGGAAGATTCTTTAAGCCTTGCTCCCTCCATGCTTGACGTGGCTAGTAGAATGTTTTTTTTTGTGGTTTTTCATGTATTTGGTTCTCCTTTAAAGGTTCTCTCTCGGTGAAGCTCCCCCCACCTGCACTCACGGCCCACCTGAAACCACAGTTCAGACACATTTATTAGACCTGTCGCATGCACACATACACACACACACACACACACACACACACACACACACACACGTGTTTGTATTCATATCTTTGTGGAGACCGTCCATTCATTTCTATGGAAAAAAAAAAACCATAGTTCCAACAATGACAACCATAAGTAACCAAACAAAATACAAGACTTTTGGCATTTTTAGTTTTTTGATTAGTCACAGATGTTTATAAAATTGAGTTTCCCCTTGTGAAATAACTGGTTTTTATCACATTGTGGATACATTTGTTCCCCAAAATGTAATATACATATAACACACACACACACACACACATACATAGAAACAGCTGGGCCTCTCTCCTAGCTGAACCGAGGAAGGCCAGGTCCCAGTAGGGGGTCGGGGTTGGGTATTGTATTGTGTGGGGGAATGAAGGTTCACTCCTCACCCCAGCTGTCCCAGTGTTTATTGATTAGTCCTACCCGGGGGCAGGAAAGAGGATGACAATAGACACCTGCCCTGCCCTGCCCCCCTAACCCATACTGACGGGGTCTCAATCTAAGGCTTCACTGAAACTCGTCAAGAGACAAGGAAAAGAATTTGTCAATTTGCTTGTTTAAGGGGTTTGTCGAGCTAAAAATAAAACAGTTCAGAGCACACACAAGCGGATGTGACCTTCTGCAGGAGCAACGGGAGCAGCGCCTGGCGGGAGGCTGGTAGTTTGCTCGCCGGTGGGTTTATCACGTCTGTGAAGACAGCTGCAACTGAGCTCACTGGAAGAAAAGGTATATGCCTGGACAGGGAAACGAGAGGCGAGATGCAGTGCCACCAGAGGTCATAAAGACCAAACAGCTGCTGGTGGGAGAATTCCAGAGCAGGACACAGTTATCTTACCCTGAGAGAAGCAGCTTAATCAATACGCAAGGCAAGACTGGCCCAGGGAATGACAGCGGGCCGATTCTGCTTGACCAATCATTGTTTATTCATGGTATTTATAAATATTAATCAACCATCCAATGAGTGAAGGACAGCAGAACTCCCAGGGATGTGTAGAAATGCTAATTTTGCACTAAAAGTGTACCAAAAAAGAGAGAAAATAACTTAAGAGTAGCTCTACTTTTACTTCATAGTGAAACACACCATAGGCTGCACAAGGCAAACCCAAGATGATGGAAAGACAGGAACAACACAGCAAATCTGAGTTCCGTGCACACATTGCAATCAAGGAGCATTTGCACAGGCGACTTTTGTTTGAGGTCGTTGTCAAACAGTGATAACAGAAGCGAAGAGGCTGTGGGCCTCAGCCCGCCGTGTTTGGCAGGCTAATCCCCCAGGGCTGCGTTTGCCCTTTGCATTGAAGCCTCCCCAGGTCTTCGCAGTGGCCCTGACTAAGCACTTTCAGGCTGACCTGGATATCTTCTCTGTAATGTGTTTGCCCGTTCTGGAGAAAAGTCCTTGTACTGCTCCCCTCTCACGTCACCGCTGTCACAGCTTTGACTCGGGCATGTTTAAATTATGTAAGGTCATAATCCATCCATCCACACTGCAGGGCATTCTTTTTGGGCACCGAACCTACAACCAGCTGCTTATGGGCTCAGCTCCTAACCTGCCATCCCACATGCCCTACCTGGCTCACAGCACCCAGGTGGTCCCACACCTCCCAAGCAGTGGCTGCCTGCTGGCCCTCTTTACTCCGCCTTTGTTGGGGAGATTGCCAGTGGTGCCCAACCTGACTGGTTGCCTATTCAATCCTGAGCCCACACTACAGCCCGCTTCTCCCGATGTCAAAACCCAACTCAGAGGGGTGTCTGGCTCTCCATTGCATACAGCAGGAACACACAGTAGGAAACCTACCTGACTTAGAACACATGACCAAGTAACCAGAACAAGGAAGATCAGAAGACCGAAACACATTTCATTACAGATTTATTGAGTATATTATTGGTATATCAATGCACAGGTCATATCATACCAGTGTAACAGCAATGAAGGTTAAATTAAGATAGGCCTACATAAATTAGCTTGTGTGCTGACAGGTATTACACAGTATTAAATCAAAGAAGAAACAAAAAATCTATTAAGTAAATAGGGCCCTACTTGCTAAAACATCAAGTAATCCTGAAACACTTAATCCCCATTAGATTAGATTAGATTACATTAAACTTCATTGTCCCTATGAGGAAATTTGGCTTGGGCATAGTGCTTGGTAGCTTTATATAAAAATACATTACAGAACATCACAACATACAAAAAAAAAAAAAAGACAAAAAAAAATGACAACCATTTCAACACTGACAACCTGATGCTTCAGTCTGTGGAATAAAGGGCCATTTGCTCTATTGCGTTTGACTTCACAATGCAAGTGAAGGTTTCCGTATAAAGTGCAGAGTGCTAAAGTGCCAGCGTATTTATTACACATTGTTCTAATGCACATTATCCATCAGCTTAATAAAGCCCGGGACAAATAATAGTTGTAGACGATTCGCTTTGCACTTTGGCTCGCGGTATCTTCTTCCTGATGGCAGGAATTCGGATTCAGGGAAGAGGAGGTGTTGGGAGTCAGAAAGAATATTTTTCTATAATATTCTTCTATAATAATCTTTATTTGTGTTGTGTAGTTTAATGTGCTTCCACTTTGGATATATAAAAGAGTGATAAAGCATGGCATACTTAAAGAATAGGCCGATTCCACCCACAAATCACCTACATGCAACTTATTTTTTATCATTATAGTTAATCAGTTGATTATAACGCTACGTGATCAGTTAAAAATTCCTAATGGTACGACTATTCAGAAACGGTATTATATGTCATTGAAACCAAGCATTGTATATAAGACGAGACGAACATGGATATAATTAGGCTTCATCTGATTTTTTGTATAATATTCTTATTCTGAAAGTAACACATATGATTGAAGTACTTACGTCGGCATAGATCGACTTATACTGTCACATGATTTTAAATGTCAGCTGATCAAGCGCGGCAAAACGAAGGTAGTTCTGTTTTTTTAATAAAACTTGACTATGGGGAATTTCCCATCCACGTGTCAAAATACAGCACACAGAACGCCGGGTCAAAACAAACAATGCGATTGGCTTAGACCGCACAGTGCTCGCCCTATACTGTGAGAAATTCGATTCTCTTAAAGGCACAAAACATCGTTATTGTTCTTAATCCAAAATGAAAAGCAAAATGTTATTTTCTCCGCACAGATGATATATAACAACTTAAAATCTGGACAATAAATGAAATAAGTTATTTGAAAACTACCTCATTCAATATACTTGATAAGCCAAATTATGAAAATTGAACACTGTAGGTCTATGTGTACTTGAATTCCTTCAAACTTTAATTCTTAATTCAATAAGCACAGAACATCAGTGTTTTTTAGGAATACAATCAACAGGACGAATAATGAGTAAACTGTACAATAAGGATTCAATAATGCATAAAGTTTTTAAGAAAGTACTGGCACTTTAAGGACTCTATTTACTTTCTTTCGGGTGTTTTTTTCTAAAGGGGGCGGTACACTGACGTTTCTGAAATAAGCGCGTAGCAGACTATCAGCATGAAAACTGTGGTGGAGGGTTACTGAGAAGAAGTTTTGCTTGTCAAGACAGAGAATCCATCAACTACGTCGGACCTCAACTGGCGGTGGGCACTTTACCATTGTTTCTACCGGCTCTGAAATGACATTATCAGCTACGTGCTTGGCTTGTTATCTTTATTACCAGGTTCAGTCATTTGTAAGCAAACTGTCGCAAAGTGTGATCAGCAAAAAGAAGACTTGTAGCTAAGTCAGTTACGTTACATAGCAAAATGCGTCTTCGCTCATCTGCTTCTTCTGAAGTCCGGCGCATGTCGTCTAAGTATATATTTAAAACGTCTCCATCGGATTACATTATATATCGTCGCCATGTGTTACTGCAGCGGGTGACCGATTGGTTATTAGGTACAATTTGACTACACGTGTTCGATGTATCGAATTATTGCTCGCGGCTCGCCAGCAAAGACACGTGAAAAGTTGGAATAGTCTGTTAGTCGGCTTTTGCTCTGTACGCAGTGTACATTTTTTAAATTAACATTTGTGTAATGTTCTCATCGACAAGGGACTTTAACCAGGTAAAATTTAAGCCCCAAAGGTAGCCGCGGACCGTAACGAAAGTTGAGTAAATGTTTTTCTTACATTTTTATTTATTTTTTGAAAATTACACCTCTTCCATTTACTTCGAAGGGTAGCATTTACTTTGTCAGCTGTTTGCGATTCAGGTGCGATCTGTTTCTTGTACATTTCGTCAACTATGACTGTTAAATTGTTTGAGTTATGTACCGTCTACTACTCTAGATTGATATATAGATGTATTGTATTGAGTTACTGTACCGTCTACTACTCTAGATTGAGTCGTTTGTTTTGTTTTGGTGTACAAGCACGCTTCCGGATGTTGCCGACAAGAAAATGATACATTGTTTAAAGCAAGAACAAAGGCTGTTTTAGACAAAATTAGCTGTCGCGTGTCAGTTGTAACAGTTTATCCGCCGCTTAAAATACTAGGAGGCGTTTTGCAGTGTTACTGTGGTGCATTTAGCTACCGTTTAGTGTAATGCGATGAACTTTCATGAACATGTCAGCGCAGACATTTAAGTTATGTACTTGACCGACCATAGATAATATTGTATTTGCATATCACCGCTACTTACCGAGGAAGAAAAAGGCCCCGCAGTGTTTCCGCTTTGAATTGGGGCACAATAGTTAAAATACCGGCCGGGGCGACTCTCTTGTGTTTCGACGTTAAACAAGGATGCGTTCAGATGGGAGCGCAAAGTTCGCTTCGCGAAGCCGAAGGACGGAAGACTGGCGGCGATTATGGAATATTAAAACTAATTCGAACAAGACTGTGGGTGTTATTTTATACAACTGCGCATGTTTGAAAATCCAAATAGTAGCCCACAGTTAGTAAAAAAACAAAAAACAAAGCTCCGATTAATTTAAATTGAATACTTTTATGGTTCGTTAAATGTTGGGCAATGTTATTAATTTGGAATTGTAGATGAACGTTATTTTCCTTGCTAATTTTTGGCCTTAAAGCACCGCGTAGCTTTACAACTATTATCTTGTTAAAGGCTATGGGGATATAAGGATTTACATGTCATTGAGTAGATTTTTAATTATCTCATGACCGTTCCGTCGTTGCCCATCTGAACGCTTTCAAGCGTTAGCCTGTATCTCTCGATCTTTGTTACTCTTACTACTCTCTTACTGTCAGAAGAAAGATTAATCGATTTACCCGAAGGATTAACTCCATGATTAAATACTGTAATACTAGGCCTAATTAAATGTGTGACCGCATAAAAACGGATGTTACAAAACATAACGATTTTATTAAAATCATAGAAAAGCATCTGTCAGAGTTTCCACTCGCATAAGAAGTATTAAATATAAGTATTTTTGTTGCATTTAAAAGGGAAAAGCTGATTTATTTTTTCGCGAATTGCCGGACGCAAACCTACCCCATTCTGCAGAAGCGGTCTCGCCCTGGTGTCGCGCTTGGCTGACAGCAAATATTCACGAAAAACTACCGCCCTCTACCAGGGCGAATGTAAGACGGAGGGGTGTTTTTTCCCCGCGCATCAGAAACTACCGAATAGCCTCGGACGGTACCGTCAGCGATCGACCCAAATTAACCCGTTGGATTCTATTTATTTGAATGGGTGAACGAAACAGAATTGTTTACGCCTGTTTCGGACAGTGTTGGTTAGAGCGACTATGCCGCGGTCACCCTGAAGTAGTAAGAATGTAAACATCCTTTTTGCTCGTGTTATAAGTTGGCAAACACAGGGAAACGTCTCGAACCCCTCGTAATTAGGAAGTGTTCTGTAGTATGTTGTGCTAGTTGGGTGTTGGGGGCGGTCATCTTTGGGCATGCTGGGGTATAACAATGATGCAACCGAGCTCTTCAGTTGAGTGAGTCAGGGAGAAGCCCTTCAGCCATCTCTCCTGGGTCCTAAGCAAACATGTTTCCACAGGAATGCCTGGTCGCTGTAATGCACTGTTTGACAGAGATAATCTCTATTGAAGAGTACGTTTGCCTGCAAACCCTGCGGTGTCACTCTCACCTACACTTAAGGAATTAATTTAATTTAATTTTCGTCCTTCGGGGCAAATATTTGTTCTCCTTACACTCAGTACACTTACTGGTTTGCATTTGACAGACAGCGGCAAGGTGCTTAAGGAGAGAGGGCAAATACTTATGCGGGATGATGCTGTCGCATCTTTGAAAATGGTACTTAAGGGTGCACAGATAAAGGGGGGCGTGTTTTTCGAGCCTCCTGAAACTACTAGACCTGGTACTCAAACACACCCATTCCTGGGCTTTGGGGGTGCATCCCACGGCGGGTCGGGTTAAGCTGGTGTCCGGGGCTCCGCACAGCAGACGCCAGGACATCACTCCCATCCCGGCCCGGCAAGACTGTGCCAGAGGGGGAGTGTAAACGGCCACACAAACACTGTGCAGTGCGTTAAGTGCTGCTCCGGTTCACATATCTAACCTAATCGGGTCGCAGCGGGTGAGTTTGAATGGTTACTAGGTAAAGTGCTGTAGTAGGAGTTTTGTGAAAAATACAGGAAGTAAAATTAAATCTGGGTTTGTCTGACAAATGATAGCGGAGAACTTTGATTTAAAAAAAAAAAAAAATCACTGAGTGTGTGTAACCTGCGTTAGTGGCATGGTACAGTACGTAAATAAATAAGCTTGTAGCGAGGGTTAGCCTGTTAAGCCACTTCCTCTCCGGCACAGTGCCGAGGCTCCCTTCTCCCTGTCTGCTTTGCCCCCCGGCGCTGCTTTTCTACCCGTGCCGTCGCCGGCCGGTGTTGGGATGCGGTGTGGTTTTGGCAGGACCGGACCACCAGGGGTTCATGCCCCCCCCCCCCCCCCCCCCGGGTGGTCCTAGGCGTCAACAAGCTGCTTTGGCTGGAACATGCGGTGGGAGAGTGAGGGAATGAGAAGGTGGGGTGGATATGAGAGAGAGAGAGAGAGAGAGAGAGAGCGGCAGCTGAAGTGTGTCGCGGCCTGGTGCGCCAGAGGGAGCTGTGCTCTGGTTCCGCTGTCACCACTCTGCCTCCTGGCCGTCTGCAGTGGGAGCCTGTGCTGCTGTCTCCAGGTTCGGGGGCCCACAGCCACACAGAGCTGGGGGCTGCTCTGAGCACCTATACTGACATGGAGGCTTTTCACGGAAGGGAGGCTCCTCTTTCATGGGGGTTACAGGCAGGTCACCGAGCAGCATGGCCTTGGCTGACTGATGCTCACAGGTTATTTTATTCTGTTTTAATGATGGATAACGGGATCCCTCATTGACATGAGCCCGACCGCATGGTGGAATCACCCTGCTGGTCACTGTATTGCAGATCCAGATCTCTTTGGGGTAGGGGGTGGGGGGGGGGGGGGGGGGGGGGGGGGGGGGGGGCA